ATAGCAAATAACTAAGTCTTACATGGAAGAGCAGTGATTTCACTGTGAAGTTCAAGTGACTGCATGTTACTTTAGGTGTAAATCTAAACAGTTTCAAACATCTGAAATACAGCAGCACAAATAACATTCCTTTCCATAACCAAATTGAACCACTCTGCAAGATCAGATCTCTGACACGAGACTGCATTACCACACAGGAACTGGCTCCCACACCACCTGTACCTTCTGAACAGCTGAGATGTAGCTGTGGGTGTCACTAAAATCAGTTTCTCATCCACAAGTATCTGGGTAAGGAGAAGATGAAGCACGTAAAACACCCGCGGGAGAAATAAGTTTGTCTAACTCAAAACATGTAGCAGTTCTGGTGGCTGAAGAGAGCTCCACCACGTTCATGGGAGCTACTGTGCACTCGTGGAGAGTGTGCAGGTGTACAATGTACCTCCCATTGCTTCTTACACATTGTCTTCCCTGAAAATGTGCCAAAATAAATATCAAAAATAGTGTTTCAGTCTATCGCTTCCCCAGCGTAATCATCTGTACACCTTCTGTACCAAGGATTTCAAATTACAGTCAGCCAAGGTAATATCAAAATATATTTTATTCTGGACCTCTTTCAGATCTGATTCAAATTACAGTTGTCAAAGCAATACAATGCAAAGGGAAACTGCAACAGAAAATGTGCCTAGAAGGGATATAAGGGCCTTGGGGACAAATCATTGTGATGTAGAACCAAAATACATCATAAAGTGTAATTAACATGGTCCAGGACAGTATAGAACATCTATATCAGTCTTCTTTAGACAATAATCGTGAAAACTGAACAATAAAAGTCCTTTAAACAAGTACAAAAAACTGTCATGGGCTGGTTTACACTTTTACAACAGTTGTAATTTAACTGGATAACTGAAGAAATGATGCAGACATTTTAATCCAGTGCTATAGGTAGGCTCACAGAATTAGACCCAAAGGATTTGTAACTCCAAATGAAACCATTACAACTACAATGTCAATGTCAGGAGAGAGAGAAAATTACTTCTGTATTCTAGAATTACTGTTCTGCACACTGCAGTCTGTTGAGGACAAGATTGCAAAGTACACTGGACTAGCAACAACATGCAGACTGTTTTCTTGTATTTACCCACAAATGTTTAAAAAACATTATGAAGTAAAAATGAATGATTTTTTTTTAAAAAAAAAAGAAAACAAAACAAAAAACATGCCTCAAGTTATTGTCAAGCTTCAAACATAAAGGCAGAGAAAGCGAATTATGTACTCAAAACTACTGATCTGAAGCACTATTAACACTACATCTGCAACCTGCAAGAAATGGCAGATTTCCCTGGTTCACCTGCCTTCCATCAGAGTGACAGTGAAGACAGCCACATGTCCACAGAACAGGGTGTTTCAGAGCTTTCTCTAGAGGGAAAAGACGACTGCTCCAGGGCTCTCTCCCTATAGCAAATGTCAGGGATCTTGATGGAGATTTACTGCTGTCTCCCGAAGCCCTGTTTGCTTCTAACATGCCACAATGTTGCTTCTGCTTTCTTCAGACTTCTGGAGAGTGTGAAACTGGTCCCCCTGGGGAACGGCTCTACAGGACTTTGTGAAGGGAGAAGCTATCAGGCTTGTCAATGAAAAAGGAACACTGCCCTGCATCTGGCAGGCCCTGCTCTAGCAGAGTCCCCCCGAAGCCAAGGGGAGTCTTGGCTCGAGTGAGATGTGTCTCATTTTC